AGACCAGAGAGAAACGTGACCTTCTCCTGCGTTCACATGTTCAAAAGCATCAGTGACATTTAGATTCCGAGGTTCGTAACCGTGGAGACAGAGGAACATTCAAAAGCTTCATTCAGACGATCAGATCAGTACAAGTGCCATTAGCAACTGTCGTTATTCTTCTTCCACTTCTGTTCCTGCTCCTGGAGAGACCAGAGAGAGACCAGAGAGAGACCAGAGAGAGACCAGAGAGAGACCAGAGAGAGACCAGAGGGACAAGGAAGAGACCAGAGAGAGACCAGAGAGAGAGCAGAGAGAAACCAGAGAGAGACCAGAGAGAGAGACCAGAGAGAGACCAGAGAGAGAGACCAGAGAGAGACTAGAGAGAGACCTGAGAGAGACCTGAGAGACCAGAGAGAGACCAGAGAGAAACCAGAGAGAGACCTGAGAGAGACCTGAGAGACCAGAGAGAGAGCAGAGAGAGACCAGAGAGAGACCAGAGAGAGACCAGAGAGAGACCAGAGAGAGAGACCAGAGAGAGACAAGAGAGAGAGACCAGAGAGAGACCAGAGAGAGAGACCAGAGAGAGACCAGAGAGAGACCAGAGAGAGACCAGAGAGAGAGAGAGAACAGAGAGAGACCAGAGAGAGACCAGAGAGACCAGAGAGAGACCAGAGAGAGACCAGAAAGAGACCAGAGGGAGATCAGAGAGAGACCAGAGAGAGACCAGAGAGAGACCAGAGAGAGACCAGAGAGAGACCAGAGAGAGACCAGAGGGAGATCAGAGAGAGAGACCAGAGAGAGACCAGAGAGAGACCAGAGGGAGATCAGAGAGAGAGACCAGAGAGAGACCAGAGAGACCAGAAAGAGACCAGAGAGACAACCCTCTCCAGTGATTTGTGGAAATAAAAGAGTCATTATCAGTGAGCAGAAGGCTTTCAGGTTTGATTTTGCAAATGGATTCGTCCTTGTTTGAGTTTATTCAGGAACAAAGCAGTCGAACAGGAAGTGGTTTAATCAATATTACGAGATTACGGACTCATGTCTTCCTCTTTTTAGTTTTTGTGACAAAAACATGGAGCTTTAGACCATAGACTGTATACAGATGCTAATGCTAACACAGACTGTATACAGATGCTAATGCTAACACAGACTGTATACAGATGGACAATGCTAACCTGCTAGCTCAATTAAGCCCAAACAGGGATCGTATAAATGTTTCCTCGTTTGATCATTATTTGTTTTTTGTTGTATTGTGCTGTAATTATAATCAGTACAAAACTGAGACTTTGACTTGGTCTTTTAGGTCAAGAAACTTGGACTTGAATTTGTAAGACCAGAGTGAGAGAGAGCGGAGACAGACCAGAGAGAGAAAGACCAGAGAGAGAGACCAGAGAGAGACCAGAGAGAGATTAGAGAGAGCCAGAGAGAGAGACCGGAGAGAGAGATCAGTGAGAGACCAGAGAGAGAGACCAGAGAGAGAGACCAGAGAGAGATTAGAGAGAGCCAGAGAGAGACCAGAGAGAGACCAGAGAGAGACCAGAGAGAGATTAGAGAGAGACCAGAGAGAGACCAGAGAGAGACCAGAGAGAGACCAGAGAGAGACCAGAGAGAGACCAGAGAGAGACCAGAGAGAGACCAGAGAGAGACCAGAGAGAGACCAGAGAGAGAGCAGAGAGAGAGCAGAGAGAGACCAGAGGGAGACCAGAGGGAGACCAGAGAGAGACCAGAGAGAGACCATAGAGAGAGACCAGAGAGAGACCAGAGAGAGACCAGAGAGAGACCAGAGAGAGAGATCAGTGAGAGACCAGAGAGCGTGACACAAGATTGAGAGAGACCAGAGAGAGTGAAAAGAAAGAGAGACTAGAGAGAGAGAGACTGAGAGAGACCGAGAGTCAGAAACCAGAGAGAGACCAGAGGGAGACCAAAGAAAGAAAAATCAGGGAGAGACCAGAGCGAGAGAGAGAGAGACCAGAGAGAGACGTTTAATTCAAAGTGACTGAAACGTTACGTATATTTGGTCTGACTTGAGTCTCGTGTTGATCTCTCCATAATCTCGCACAGATGGAAAACCCGCAGAGAAATTAGGATTATGTGTCTCATGGTTTGAATTCAGCACAGTTCATGACGCACCAAACCAACCGAGCTCTCTGCAGACCTCAGCACGTGTGGAGCCCGCGGCGGCGTCTCAGGTCTGCAGGAGGCCAGTTTATCGGTATAGCACAGTCCAGACTCTCACTGAGCTGAACTAAACAAGAGGGAGTCAGTCTAAAAAGTCCCAGAATCCTTCAGTTGTTGCAGACTTCAGCTGTATCTACTTTGTCCTTGTGTATATTGTGTTTTTACAGATGTGTAGTGTCCTTTTGTGTCTGTATCGTACGCTGTAAATGTTTCCTGTGGTTTTATGTTATGTATTATTGTTTTGTATGCGCTGCTCGTACGAATGGCCCCGGGTGGGATGAACGAGTGTGTACATATTCACAGATGTGTAAATCCCTGAACACTTATATCCAGATGATTCTATTCTCATAATATTATCCCATTATTATTCTTATTTTCATCTGATTGTCGAATACTATGCGAGCTTCAGTGACAACGCTGTTTCCTGTGGATCAATAAAGTCTGAGAAACACAACTGTTTCTTAAACCAAACCTGGAATTGAACATTGTCAGAGAAGAAGCCTGTCTAACATTTTCAGGAAGACTGCTCCAGATTTTTGCATGAATCTGAAATGTTACATTTTCAGTCCTCTAGAACCACGAATACATTATTTTCTACATTATTTTCCACATTATTTTCTACATTATTTTCTACATTATTTTCTTTACATTATTTTCTACATTATTTTCCACATTATTTTCTTTACATTATTTTCTACATTATTTTCTACATTATTTTATCCACATTATTTTCTACATTATTTTCTTTACATTATTTTCTTTACATTATTTTCTACATTATTTTCTACATTATTTTCTTTACATTATTTTCTTTACATTATTTTCTACATTATTTTCTTTACATTATTTTCTTTACATTATTTTCTACATTATTTTCTACATTATTTTCTACATTATTTTCTTTACATTATTTTCCACATTATTTTCTACATTATTTTCTACATTATTTTCTACATTATTTTGTACATTATTTTCTACATTATTTTCTTGCGGCTGTTTTAAACCTGCCTCTCAGTCTTGGCCATTATATTTGTATTTTGTACGCACATTTGTATTGTATTTCAACTTGTTTTTACTGTGAAGCGCTTTGCGAGCTTGGTCTGTGAAAGGAGCTGTATAAATAAAACTTACTTTGAACCATGTGAGACTTCATCATATCCAGCTCTTCCATATAAGGCCAATGGTTTTGAACAGCCTCTGCCAATGGAGGCAGAGGCTGAGGATGTTGGGCCGGATACTTCCATCTCCCTGGCCGAGGTCACCAAGGTGGTTGGCAGCCTCCATGGTGGCAAGGCGCCGGGAGTGGATGAGATCCGTCCTGACTATCTAAAGTCTCTGGATGTTGTAGGACTGTCTTGGCTGACACGTCTCTGCAACATCGCGTGGCGATCGGGGGCGGTGCCAATGGAGTGGCAGACCGGGGTGGTGGTCCCTCTCTACAAGAAGGGGGACCGGAGGGTGTGTTCCAATTATCGTGGGATCACACTCCTCAGCCTCCCCGGTAAGGTCTACTCCAAGGTACTGGAGAGGAGGCTTCGTCCGATGGTCGAATCTCGGATTCAGGAGGAGCAGTGTGGTTTTCGTCCCGGTCGCAGAACACTGGACCAGCTCTATACTCTCCATCGGATACTCGAGGGTTCATGGGAGTTCGCCCAACCTGTCCACATGTGCTTTGTGGATTTGGAGAAGGCGTTCGACCGCGTTCCCCGGGGTGTCCTTTGGGGGGTCCTCCGGGAGTACGGGGTCCGGGGTCCTCTGCTGAGGGCTGTTCGGTCCCTGTATGACCGGAGCCAGAGCTGTGTTCGCATTGCTGGCAGTAAGTCAGACCTGTTCCCGGTGCATGTTGGCCTCCGCCAAGGCTGCCCTTTGTCACCGGTTCTGTTCACTGTATTTATGGACAGAATCTCTAGGCGCAGCCAGGGGCCGGAGGGGGTCCGGTTCGGGAACCACAGGATTTCATCTCTACTTTTTGCGGATGATGTCGTCCTGCTGGCTCCAACGAACCAGGACCTGCAACATGCACTGGGACGGTTTGCAGCCGAGTGTGAAGCGGCTGGGATGAGAATCAGCACCTCCAAATCCGAGGCCATGGTGCTTGACCGGAAAAAATGTGCCTTGCCCTCTCCAGGTGGGTGGAGAGGTCCTTCCTCAAGTGGAGGAGTTCAAGTATCTCGGGGTCTTGTTCACGAGTGAGGGGAGGATGGAGCGTGAGATTGACAGGCGGATCGGTGCAGCGTGCGCAGTGATGCGGTCTCTGTATCGGACCGTTGTGGTAAAGAGGGAGCTGAGCCGAAAGGCAAAGCTCTCAATTTACCGGTCAATCTTCGTTCCCTCCCTCACCTATGGTCATGAGCTGTGGGTAATGACCGAAAGAACGAGATTGCGGATACAAGCGGTCGAAATGAGCTTCCTCCGCAGAGTGGCTGGGCGCTCCCTTAGAGATAGGGTGAGGAGCTCGGTCACACGGGAGGAGCTCGGAGTAGAGCCGCTGCTTCTCCACGTCGAGAGGAACCAGTTGAGGTGGCTCGGGCATCTGTTCCGGATGCCTCCTGGACGCCTCCCTGGGGAGGTGTTCCGGGCACGTCCCACCGGGAGGAGGCCCCGGGGAAGACCCAGGACACGCTGGAGAGACTATGTCTCTCAGCTGGCCTGGGAACGCCTAGGGGTCCCCCCGGACGAGCTTGAGGAGGTGTGTGTGGATAGGGAAGTCTGGGCGTCTCTGCTTAGACTGCTGCCCCCGCGACCCGGCAACGGATAAAGCGGAAGAAAATGGATGGATGGATGGATGGATGGTTTTGAACAATTATAAAGTCTCGAACTAACAAACCCTTCTGTTGTTTCTTGTGTGTTGTTGCAGAACCGTGACAGAATGGTCGACTGCTTCAGCAAAGTCATGCAGCACGCGGCGGCCTGGTGCTGGCAGCCGCTCGTGGGGCTGGTCCTGGTGGTCGTGTGCGTGGGCTCGTCGCTGGCGTGTCCGTCCCGCTGCGAGTGCTCGGCCCAAACCAAGGCGGTCGTCTGCCACCGCAAGCGAATGCCCACCATCCCCGACGGCATCCCCACGGAGACCCGCGTCCTGGACCTCAGCAAGAACAAGCTGACCATGATCAACCCGGACGACTTCCTGAACTTCCCGGGCCTCGAGGAGCTGGACCTGAGCGGGAATATAATCAGCTACGTGGAGCCGGGAGCCTTCAATGCGTTGTTTAATATGCATTCTCTCAGTTTGAAAAGCAACAGGATCAAACTTATTCCTTTGGGCGTGTTTTCTGCCTTGAACAACTTGACGCGGTTGGATATAAGTGATAATAAAATCGTCATACTTTTGGATTACATGTTCCAGGACTTGCACAATCTTAGGTTTCTGGAAGTGGGCGACAATGACCTGGTGTACATCTCTCACCGTGCGTTTAGCGGACTCCTGAGCCTGGAGATTCTCACGTTGGAGCGCTGTAATTTGACCGTTGTACCGACCGAAGCGCTGTCCCACCTGCACAACCTGGTCAGCCTTCACCTGCGATACCTCAGCATCAGCACTTTGCATCCTTACTCCTTCAAGAAGCTTTTCCGGCTGCGGAAACTGGAGATCGACAACTGGCCGTCGCTGGATAGCATCCCGCCGAACACTCTCCACGGGCTCAACCTCACCGCGCTGTTCGTCACCAACACAAACCTGTCCTCGTTCCCGGACCAGGCCTTGAAGCACCTGCCGTTTCTCACGCACCTGAACCTGTCGCACAACCGCATCCGGCACATCAAGGGCGGGATGCTGTCGGAGCTGGTCCGCCTTCGGGAGCTGCACCTCGTTGGCGCGCAGCTCACCGCCATCGAGCCCTACGCGTTCCAAGGGCTGCGGCAGCTCAAGGTCCTCAACGTGTCGCACAATCGCCTGGACACGCTGGAGAAGGACGTGTTCCAGTCCCCGGAAACCCTGGAGGTGCTTCTGATCGACAACAACCCGCTGGTGTGCGACTGCCGCCTCATGTGGATCCTGCAGAAGAGGCATACCATCTTCTTCGGCGATTCTCAGCCGGAGTGCAGCACGCCCGAGGGAATCCGCGGCCGGCCTTTCCGGGAGTTCAAGGAGACTCTGCTGTCGTACTACGTGACGTGCACCAAGCCGAAGATCCGCGAGAACAAGACGCAGACGGTGACGGTGGACGAGGGGCAGCAGGCCGTGTTGCGCTGCACGGCGGACGGGACCCCTCGGCCCGTCGTGATCTGGCTTTCCCCGCGGCGAAGGACCCTGACGAACAGGAGCCACGGGAGGGTTACGGTCCACAATAACGGCACATTGGAAATCAAGTCCGCGGAGATACAAGACAACGGCGTTTACCTCTGCTTAGCTTCCAACACGGCGGGGAACGACACCTTAATGACCTCTCTCGCTGTGAAAAGCCTCGGCTCTTTGTACGCTAACAGGACTCTGTATTACACAGACGCTAGCAACAACACGGCCAACGCCACCGGCAGCGTTAGCCTCGGGTTGGACCTCAAGACTATTTTGGTGTCCACGGCCATGGGCTGCTTCACGTTCCTGGGGGTGGTGTTGTTTTGCTTCCTCCTGCTCTTCGTGTGGAGCAGAGGAAAAGGAAAGCACAAAAATAACATTGACGTGGAGTACGTTCCGCGGTCGAAGTCCAACGGGACGAACGTGGACTCGGCGGAGGCACAAGCCGGGCGCCGCTTCAACATGAAAATGATGTGACTTGATTTTTTTGTAACTCGTGGATTTTAACAAAGCCCAAAGTACGATATGATGTATTTTTTTCAGTTCAAACTCGACGGACGAACTTCTGGAAGGGACAGAGTTTGTTAAAAGACGCTAACCGCTAATGGACGCGCAGTGGGAATACAAGAGAAGCTTTTACACAACTGCCAGAGGAGGCTATTTTCAACTGACCCTTTGAGGACCTATCACGGATCAGTGTCACTTATGTTCAAATTGATATATTCAGATTTATACGCCCGAAAAGGAACATTTTTGGGGGTGATCCACAAACTCCCAACAATGTACAGTGGAAGTTTGTATCTATCTATTGACCTTTGTTTAGTCTTGGCCATGCAAACACAGTCCGCCATACACCCTCTGTTCAGTACTTTGCAGATGTGCACCTAACGGGTCATTATGTACATGTCTGTGGACCACAAACTACTTCATAGCAATATTATGGGATGCATTAGCCAAAATTGGTTTAACAGTGACCTTCGCAGGCGTCTCCAGGGAACAGAAGGGCTTCTCTGTCTCTATTCCCCAATTGATCTATAGATATGAATAAATATATAAATATATATATATATAATTTATCATGGAGAATATAGAAAAAGGTAATTTATATGTAAAGGAGTTGAATTCTTTTAAAATCTTGCCAACGTTGTTCTGGATTCGCCTTCCTTCTGGATCGCCCCATCGCTGGTGGAAGAACCAGAAACTATTTTGTCCTATTTTTTTGTCTTTTCTGGTTCCTTTGACTGTACTTTCAAAACCTACATGTGTCAATTTTACTAGTGACATTTGCTCATTTTTTCCCCTGGTAGGAACATTTGACTTTGTTGTGGTAGTTTCTCATTTTGTTGTTTGAATCATTTAGATTGTGCGGAAAAAACGGACAAAAAAAGTTCAAGTTTAAAAACTGTATGTGAAATAAATCCAGATGTATTTGTACCAAGAGTCTGTTGTTATTGTCGACGAGGACGAGGTGCTTTTATACGTCTGTCACAGAACTAAGCTCCGCCTCCTTCCGAACACCTCCGAGAAACTACATGTTATAGCTCAGAATTAGCAAAAGTGTAACCATTTTATAGTAATGCGATATTTGGGCCATTATTCAATATTATTGTGATTGAGATTTATGTTCATTATATTATTAAAAAGGAGGAGAGTAGAGACCACCCTCACTCAGCCAATCAGCTCTCAGTCCACAGAGGCACTATCTGGGTGTTCTCTTCTTTAATATGAACCTATTCCCTCTGATGGGTAATTAAAATGTTGCTTACTAGCGCATTAGCATTAGCCTCATCGTTTCCCACAGAAGAACCAGGGCCAGGAGGTACGGATGTTGGCTTTGGGAAGAGTCTTCATCCATCAGGAACTCAAACTGGAGAGAGAGAGGAGGTGAGAGGTGAGAGGAGGGGAGAGAGAGGAGAGAGAGGGGGGGAGAGAGAGGAGGAGAGAGGAGAGGGAAGAGAGAGAGGAGGGGAGGGAGGGAAGAGAGAGAGGAGGAGATGAGAAAGAGAAGAGGGGAGGGGAGAGAGGAGGAGAGAGAGAGAGGGGAGAGAGAGGAGGAGGGAGAGAGGAGAGAGGGGAGGAGAGGAGGAGAGGGGTGGGAGGAGAGAGAGAGTGGAGAGGTGAGGAGAGGGGAAGAGAGGAGCGGAAAATGGAGGTGTGAGAGGGGAGGGGAGAGGGATGAAAGGAGAGGAGAGGGAAAGAGGAAAGGTATGGGAGGAGGGGAGAGGTGAGGGGATGGGAGGAGAGAGAGGGAGAGAAGAAGGGAGGAGAGGAGTGGGAAAGAGGAGGAGAGACAGGGCTACACTAACATCTTTAAAGTGCTGTGTGCAGGTGAGAGCACATGACAGACTGCTCCTTATGTAACAGGTATAATTAGAAGTCCTGAGTGAACACTTCAAACACCAGCCTCAGAGGGAGGGGAGGGGGGGGGGGGGGGGGAGGGAGGGTGAGAGTGGTCCATCAGACTGTTGCCGTAACCATAAAGGCCACACTTTCCCTCAGGGCGGAGCCGTTGAGTGAGAGAGACACACAAACTGGTCTGACTGAGAAACCTCACTTTGATTCTAAATGACTCATTCATGTGACATCAATGTGTTTCTGTATCTCCACCATTCATGATAGCACTCTCTCTGGTCTCTCTCTGGTCTTTCGCTCTGGTTTCTCACTGGTCTCTCTCTGTTCTCTCTCTTGTCTCTCTCTGGTCTCTCTCTTGTCTCTCTCTGGTCTCTCTCGCTGGTCTCTCTCTCTTGCTAGTCTCTCTCTGGTCTCTATCTCTGGTCTCTCTCTCTGGTCTCTCTCTGGTCTTTCGCTCTGGTTTCTCACTGGTCTCTCTCTGTTCTCTCTCTTGTCTCTCTCTGGTCTCTCTCTTGTCTCTCTCTGGTCTCTCGCTGGTCTCTCTCTCTTGCTAGTCTCTCTCTGGTCTCTATCTCTGGTCTCTCTCTCTCGCTAGTCTCTCTCTGGTCTCTCTCTCTCTTTGGTCTCCTTCTGGTCTCTCTCTCTGGTCTCTCTCTGGTCTTTCGCTCTGGTTTCTCACTGGTCTCTCTCTGTTCTCTCTCTTGTCTCTCTCTGGTCTCTCTCTTGTCTCTCTCTGGTCTCTCGCTGGTCTCTCTCTCTTGCTAGTCTCTCTCTGGTCTCTATCTCTGGTCTCTCTCTCTCGCTAGTCTCTCTCTGGTCTCTCTCTGGTCTCTCTCTCTCTTTGGTCTCCTTCTGGTCTCTCTCTCTGGTCTCTCTCTGGTCTCTCTCTGTTCTCTCTCTTGTCTCTCTCTTGTCTCTCTCTGGTCTCTCTCTCTCTCTGGTCTCCTTCTGGTCTCTCTCTCTGGTCTCTCTCTGGTCTTTCGCTCTGGTTTCTCTCTGGTCTCTCTCTGGTCTCTCTGGTCTCTCTCTTTCTGGTCTCTCTCTCTGGTCTCTCTCTGGTCTCTCGCTCTGGTCTCTCTCTGGTCTCTAGCTCTGGTTACTCTCTGGTCTCTCTCTGGTCTCTCTCTTTCTGGTCTCCTACTGGTCCCTCTCTGCTTTCTCTCTCTTGGCTCTCTGGTCTCTCTTTCTCTGGTTACTCTCTGGTCTCATTCGGGTCTCTCTCCAGTCTCTCTCTCTGGTCAATCTCTGCTCTCACTGGTCACTCTCTATTCTCTCTGTGGTCTCTCTCTGGTCTCTCTTTCTGTTCACTCTCTATGGTCTCTCTCTCTGGTCCCACTCTATGGTCTCTCTCTATGGTCTCTCTCTCTGGTCCCACTCTATGATCTCTCTCTATGGTCTCTCTCACTGGTCTCTCTGGTTTCTCATAAAACCGGCCCCAGCGCGGTCCCTCTCTCTGGAGAATCCTTCCGCTGCCACATGTCGGTCATTGCGCTCTCTCACCCTCCGTGTGAACTTATGGAGTGTCTGGAAGTGAGAGCAGACGGAGGGGTGAGACCAGGAGATGACAGGGGCCGCCTCCTCACCCGCCCTCCCCCATTACTCACCCGCCTGACGAGTCCGGCTGAGAGGTCGAAGCGGAAGCAGTTAGAGTCAAAGACAACAAGCTAATCCTCTCTAGGCTCTCTCTTTCTCTGCTCCATCTCTTTGGTCTATCTCTGGTCTCTTTCTCTGGGTTCTCTCTCCCTCTGGTCTCTCTGTGGTCTCTCCCTCTGGCCTCTCTCTTTGTGGTCTCTCTCTCTGGTCTCTCTCTGTTCCCTCTCTCTCTCTGGTTTCTCTCTGGTCCCTCTCTCTCTCTGGTCCCTCTCTCTGGTCTCTCTCTGGTCTCTCTCTCTAATTTCTCTCTCTGGTCCCTCTCTCTGTTCCCTCTCTCTCTCTGGTCTCTCTCTCTCTAGTTTCTCTCTGGTCTCTCCCTGGTCTCTCTCTGTTCCCTCTCTCTGTTCCCTCTCTCTCTCTCGTCTCTCTCTCTGGTCTCTCTCTCTGGTCTCTCTCTGGTCCCTCTCTCTGGTCTCTCTCTGGATAATAGTTGCATGAATTGAGCTTTGAAAGTTACGTACCTCAGCTTTAAAGCCTGAAACACTCACACTTCTCCTACCGCCACAGACCCGCTGCTGTTGGGCAGATGTAGCTGCTTTATCAGCTTTCCCTCCACACGGTCCCTGGAGAGAGAAACCCCACTCCCCAGGGAACCATGAGCGCCAAGCACCGGCCTGGCGCACATGTGGCGGAATGCGCTCCGCGGCACCTGGAGGATCTCCCAGACGCAGGATATTAGAGCAAGACTTCCCACGACGACCGACCGTCACATGTCCATCCAACATGGAACAAACACCTCTCAGGAGAGAGCGAAACAAAACAAGAAGAGAAACCAGAGCCAGAGCAGGAAGAAACAGCCAGGACTGAAGCTGTAGATCCAGGACTGAGGCTGTAGACCCAGGACTGAGGCTGTAAACCCAGGACTGAGGCTGTAGACCCAGGACTGAAGCTGTAGATCCAGGACTGAGGCTGTAGACCCAGGACTGAGGCTGTAGATCCAGGACTGAAGCTGTAGATCCAGGACTGAGGCTGTAGAACCAGGACTGAGACTGTAGACCCAGGACTGAGGCTGTAGACCCAGGACTGAGGCTGTAGACCCAGGACTGAGGCTGTAGATCCAGGACTGAAGCTGTAGATCCAGGACTGAGGCTGTAGACCCAGGACTGAGGCTGTAGATCCAGGACTGAGGCTGTAGATCCAGGACTGAGGCTGTAGACCCAGGACTGAGGCTGTAGATCCAGGACTGAGGCTGTCGATCCAGGACTGAGGCTGTAGATCCAGGACTGAGGCTGTAGACCCAGGACTGAGGCTGTAGATCCAGGACTGAGGCTGTAAACCCAGGACTGAGGCTGTAGATCCAGGACTGAGGCTGTAGATGCAGGACTGAGGCTGTAGACCCAGGACTGAGGCTGTAGATCCAGGACTGAGGCTGTAGACCCAGGACTGAGGCTGTAGATCCAGGACTGAGGCTGTAGACCCAGGACTGAGGCTGTAGATCCAGGACTGAGGCTGTAGACCCAGGACTGAGGCTGTAAACCCAGGACTGAGGCTGTAGATCCAGGACTGAGGCTGTAAACCCAGGACTGAGGCTGTAGACCCAGGACTGAGACCAGAGATAGACCAGAGAGTGATCAGAGAGAGACCAGAGAGGAACTAGAAGAGACCAGAAAGAAACCAGAGAGAGACCAGAGAAAGAGACCAGAAAGAGACCAGAGAGACCAAAAAGAGAAAGGAGGGACCAGAGAGACCTTCTCATGAATGCATTCAGATCACATGGTATGCAGAGGTGTTTATAATAGCTGGTCCTTTCGTTCTGGTGCCTTCTGCTGGGAGCACTATCGCTCTGAATACTTCGCTCTGTGATTTAATTAGAGCTTGGATCCAGTCAGCGGCGCACGGAGGAACTCGGCTAATTAAAAAGTGGCCTCAAAAAGTTCACGCTGACGTTCAGCGCATTAACTGAGGAAATATGCAGAAGTCACCTGAGCTACCAGACCATATTATATCTCTCTCTAGTCTCTCCCTGGTCTCTCTCTGGTCTCTCTCTTTGGTCTCTCTCTGGTCTCTCTCTGGTCTCTCTCTGGTCTCTCTCTGGTCTCTCTCTTTGGTCTCTCTCTGGTCTCTCTCTGGTCTCTCTCTCTGGTCTCTCTCTGGTCTCTCTCTGGTCTCTCTCTTTGGTTTCTCTCTGGTCTCTCTCTGATCTCTCTCTCTGGTCTCTCTCTTTGGTTTCTCTCTGGGCTCCCTCTGGTCTCTCTCTCTCTCTGGTCTCTCTCTGGTCTCTCTCTGGTCTCTCTCTGGTCTCTCTCTGGTCTCGCTCTGGTCTCTCTCTAGTCTCTCTTTCTGGTCTCTCTCCGGTCTCTCGCTGGTCTCTCTCTGGTCTCCCTCTAGTCTCTCTCTCTCTGGTCTCACTCTGGTCTCTCTCTAGTCTCTCTTTCTGGTCTCTTTCCGGTCTCTCTCTGGTCTCTCTCTGGTCTCCCTCTGGCCCAGAAGAACCCGCGGTCCACTGTTTGAGATGCACAGCGCTCTCTCACAAACACTGCTTCTCTGTGAGGAACAAACCTGAGCTCTGTGTGAGCGCCAGGCCAGCTGCACCCGCCCTGAAGAGAGAGAGACCCCAGGCTGGAGGAGAGAGGCTGAAGGAGAAAGAGACCCCAGGCTGGAGGAGAGAGAGACCCCAGGCTGGAGGAGAAAGAGACCCCAGGCTGGAGGAGAGAGAGACCCCAGGCTGGAGGAGAGAGAGACCCTGAGGCTGGAGGAGAGAGAGACCCCAGGCTGGAGGAGAGAGAGACCCTGAGGCTGGAGGAGAAAGAGACCCCAGGCTGGAGGAGAAAGAGACCCCAGGCTGGAGGAGAGAGAGACCCCAGGCTGGAGGAGAGAGAGACCCTGAGGCTGGAGGAGAAAGAGACCCCAGGCTGGAGGAGAAAGAGACCCTGAGGCTGGAGGAGAAAGAGACCCCAGGCTGGAGGAGAAAGAGACCCCAGGCTGGAGGAGAAAGAGACCCCAGGCTGGAGGAGAAAGAGACCCCAGGCTGGAGGAGAAAGAGACCCCAGGCTGGAGGAGAGAGTACTGGTTCTGGAAGAAAGAGAGAGAGAGAGGGGTCTGGGTCTGGTCTGGGTCTGGTCTGGGTCTGGTCTGGGTCTGGTCTGGGTCTGGCCTGGGTCTGGCCTGGGTCAGCCTGGTTGTCTCCTGTTATTATATAAATACAAATGTAAACCGCATGATTTCAGTCCAACTCATAAAGAGACTTTTTATTTTGTCCTCAGCAGAAAACTACAGAGACCTGTAATTCCCGGTACGGCCACCAGAGGGGGCACCGCAGCCAAACAATCCAAGATGGCCGACATAAAGTCTGAAAATGACTCCTGTGAAACCACACTGCTGCTTGTCACTCCCATATTCGTCCCGGAAACCGGATTCGTCCGGAAGTTCAGTTTGATCCAATGAGCAAACGCAGCAGTAGACGTCACGGAATCTGGACGGAAGCGGAAGTAAATATAAAAAACTACCTGTTCATGCCTAAACTTAACCAGCCATTCCCATAAAATAACTCCAACCCAGCCTTAACCCTAAACTTAACCATCTTACTCAGACGCCTAAACTTAACCAGTCTCCACTTAAGGACTTATTACACTTTTTGACATGCGCAAACTGAACTTCCGGACAAATCCGGTTTCCGGGACGAATACGGGAGTGACACTGCTGTGTGATAGCAGTCAAACTATATAAATGATGTCGCCTCTGACCTCTGACCTGTGGAAACAAACATGTAACCCTAAAGTTACCCTTTTCCCGAGTGGAGAAGTCACAATGTCTAACTTTTGTAAATGTTAATAACAGTTTATCCAGTTGATCTACTGCAGTGCCAGATCTTCTTTTATTGAAATCCATCATCCTTTGGCCAAAAAAATAATTTAAAAAGATATGTGGAGAAGTTTACTGTCAGGAGTAAGTGTGGACACCCTCTCTCCTTCACTGAGTTCTTTTCATGACTATGGTCTGTAGATCCACACCAGGCTGTGGACCTGAACCCAGTCCAGATGCTTTTGGACCTGAACCCAGTCCCAATGGTTTTAGACCTGAACCTAGTCCAGATGGTTTTGGACCTGAACCCAGTCCAGATGGTTTTGGACCTGAACCCAGTCCAGATGGTTTTGGACCTGAACCCAGTCCAGATGGTTTTGGACCTGTACCCAGTCCAGATGGTTTTGGACCTGTACCCAGTCCAGATGGTTTTGGACCTGAACCCAGTCCAGATGGTTTTGGACCTGAACCCAGTCCAGATGGTTTTGGACCTGAACCCAGTCCAGATGGTTTTGGACCTGAACCAGTCCAGATGGTTTTGGACCTGAACCCAGTCCAGATGGTTTTGGACCTGAACCCAGTCCAGATGGTTTTGGGGCTGGACCACAGAGTGAAGGGGTCAACAAGTGCTAAGCATCATGGGAACTCCTTCCAGACTGTTGGAGACCATTTCAGGTCCTGTTGAAGCTCATCCAGAGAATGCCAAGAGTGAAGCAGTATCAGAGCAAAAGAACCAGAATATAACACATATTTACACTTGGTTCATACTTTTTTAGTACGTACATAATTCACATGAGTTCATTCATGGGTTTGATGCCCTCAGTGTCAATCTACAAAACTCTTTGAATGAGGTGTGTCCAAACTTTTGCTCTGTACTGTGAGTGTACAGTATATATGGTGAGAATTGTTTAACAATTATTTTTAAGTTACTTTAAATGTTACGTTTGTTTTGTAGATAAAGACCTTTTCTTTGACAATAGAAGAATAAATCTGAGGCCTACAGATTATTCCAGGATGATTCCCTCTTCACCTGTGGCGGTCACAGGTTAGAACAGGCCACGCCCTGTGCTCTCCACTCTCCTGCAGGAAGGACTGCAAACTGACAAATGAATAAGTTATTCTTGTTTTATAAAGATGTATTTTTAGTTATATTTTTGTTTTCATGAGGTTTCAGAATGTGACGGTGCCTCTGCAAAGCAGTAACGTAAACTTGCATCTTCCTTCTGTGCTTTTCCTTTCAGACACATTTATATGGACTTTACATGTTGAACTGTAGGTCTGTGCTGTCTGCGAGACGTTGGCATTGACCTGACTGGACACTGCCCAAGAAGGATATAAGTACATCTTCATCACAACTGATTATTTTTAAAAACAAAGTCTGCAGCAGAAGTGTTTGATACTTTACAGATTTGGATGTCCAAAACGTATTCTGTCAGATCAGGGGCGTGAATTTGTGAATGAGGTAAAATACGACTTGAATGCTTGAATATATCCTTTCATGCAATAATTGTACTGTGTATATTGCTTTCAACACTAAGCTCTGTGGCCTTCTGGGCATTGAGCAGAGTGTAATGGCTGCTCTTCTCCCTCAGACCAGTGGCTTGGATGAAAAAACAAATCACAGCATAAAAAGGTCAGTCATTTAAAAAACCTCCACCATCAAAGCTCATTCTAAAAGGATTTTACGTTATGTATTCCTCGCTTTAACTTTCAATATTGTGAATGATAACCTTCTGTTACAGAGCTCTGATGAAGGCGGTTAAAGAGCCCCACTGCTCCACCACATACTGCCCCCTCACTCAGGTCCAAGCCCCTCTGCTCCACCACATACTGCCCCCTCACTCAGGTCCAAGCCCCTCTGCTCCACCACATACTGCCCCCTCACTCAGGTCCAAGCCCCTCTGCTCCACCACATACTGCCCCCCCACTCAGGTCCAAACCCCTCTGCTCCACCACATACTGCCCCCTCACTCAAGTCCAAGCCCCACTGCTCCACCACATACTGCCCCCTCACTCAGGTCCAAACCCCTCTGCTCCACCACATACTGCCCCCTCACTCAGGTCCAAACCCCTCTGCTCCACCACATACTGCCCCCTCACTCAGATCCAAACCCCTCTGCTCCACCACATACTGCCCCCTCACTCAGGTCCAAGCCCCTCTGCTCCACCACATACTGCCCCCTCACTCAAGTCCAAGCCCCACTGCTCCACCACATACTGCCCCCATCACTCAGGTCCAAACCCCTCTGCTCCACCACATACTGCCCCCTCACTCAGGTCCAAGCCCCACTGCTCCACCACATACTGCCCCCTCACTCAGTTCCAAATCCCTCTGCTCCACCACATACTGCCCCCTCACTCAGGTCCAAGCCCCACTGCTCCACCACATACTGCCCCCTCACTCAGGTCCAAACCCCTCTGCTCCACCACATACTGCCCCCTCACTCAGGTCCAAGCCCCTCTGCTCCACCACATACTGCCCCCTCACTCAGGTCCAAACCCCTCTGCTCCACCACATACTGCCCCCTCACTCAGGTCCAAACCCCTCTGCTCCACCACATACTGCCCCCTCACTCAGGTCCAAACCCCTCTGCTCCACCACATACTGCCCCCTCACTCAGTTCCAAGCCCCTCTGCTCCACCACATACTGCCCCCTCACTCAGGTCCAAACCCCTCTGCTCCACCACATACTGCCCCCTCACTCAGGTCCAAGCCCCTCTGCTCCACCACATACTGCCCCCTCACTCAGGTGGATGTGTTTCCAGCAGAGGTTCCCGTGGATATCACCATTAGCTTGGTCAAGACAACCTGTATTTGTGACTAGATTTCATATTATGTGAAATATCTTCTCAGCTCCTCTGGACTCCCCCCTGGACTGCCACCTTAACGTGGTGGGGGAGTTTGAGTACTCGGGTGACCCTGGGAGCTATGTTGTCTGGGGCTTCATGCCCTTGGTAGGGTCTCCCATGGCAGACAGGTCTCAGGTGACGAGTCAGACGAAGCGCAGTCCGAAGCCAACAATGGACAGCACGAAAATGAAAACCATGATGTCGCCCGGCATGGCGCAGCCGGGGCCCCACCCTGGAGCCAGGCCTGGGGTCGGGGCTCGCAAGCGAGCGCCTGGTGGCCGGGCCTTAGCCCACGGGGCCCGGTCGGGCTCAGCCCGAAGGGACGACGTGGGCAGTCCCTCCTGTGGGCCCACCACCTGCAGAGGGGTTCGTGGTGGCTCGGTGCTAAGAGGACTGAGCGGCAGTCGAAGGCGGAGACCTCGGCGACCTCGGCGACCTAGTCCCCACACACAACATCTGGCTCTTGGGACGTGGAACGTCACCTCACTGGGGGGGAAGGAGCCCGAGCTCGTGGGGGAGGTTGAGCGATAACGACTAGAGATAGTCGGCCTCACCTCCACACACAGCTTGGGCTCTGGAACCCAACTCCTTGAGAGGGGTTGGACGCTCCACTTTTCTGGTCTTTCCCGCGGGGAGAGGCGGCGAGCTGGGGTGGCCATTCTCATTGCCCCCCATCTCAGCCGCCACGTGTTGGAGTTCTCCCCGGTGAATGAGAGGGTCGCGGCCCTCCGCCTCCGGGTGGGGGACAAGTCTCTCATTGTTGTAACGGCCTACGGGCCTAACAGCAGTGCAGAGTACCCGGCCTTCTTGGCCTTCTTGGAGTCCTTGGGAGGGGTACTGGACGGTGCACCGCCCGGGGACTCCGTTATTCTCCTGGTGGACTTCAACGCCCATGTGGGAATTGCCAGTGGCACTTGGAGAGGGGTGATTGGGAAGAACGGCCCCCCTGATCTGAACCCGAGCTGTGTTCAGTTGTTGGACTTCTGTGCCAGTCACAGTTTGTCCATCACGAACACCATGTTCGAGCACAAGGGTGTCCACCAGTGCACGTGGCACCAGGACACCCTAGGCCGGAGGTCGATGATCAACGTTGTTGTCATATCATCTGACCTTCGACCGCGTGTCTCGGACACTCGGGTAAAGAGAGGGGCGGAGCTGTCAACCGATCATCACCTGGTCGTGAGTTGGATCCGCTGGCAGGGGAAGAAGCCGGTCAGACCTGGCAGACCCAAGCGTATAGTGAGGGTCTGCTGGGAACGTCTCGCCGAGCCCCCTGTCAGACGGACTTTCAACTTACACCTACGGGAGAGCTTCTCCCAGGTCCCGGCGGAGGAGGGGGACATGGAGTCCGAGTGGACCTTGTTCTCTGCCTCAATCACCGGTGCGGCGGCTCGTAGCTGTGGTCGCAAGGTCTCTGGTGCTGGTCCTGGCGGCAACCCTCGAACCCGGTGGTGGACACCGGCAGTAAGGGATGCTGTCAGGCTGAAGAAGGAGTCCTATCGAGCCATGATGGTTCGGGGGACTCCTGAGGCAGCTGTCCAGTACCGGCAGGCCAAGCGTGCCGCGGCCCGGGCTGTTGCAGAGGCAAAAACCCGGGACTGGGAGGAGTTCGGAGAGTCCATAGAGCATGACTATCGGTCGACCTCGAAGAGATTCTGGCAAACTGTCCGGCGCCTCAGGAGGGGGAAGCAGTTCTTTGCCAACACCATGTACGGTGCGGGTGGAGAGCTGCTGACCTCGACTGGGGATATTGTCGGGCGGTGGAAGGAATACTTCGAGGTTCTCCTCAATCCCCCCGTCACGTCCTCCGTTACAGAGGCAGAGGCTGAGGATGTTGGGGCGGATACATCCATCTCCCTGGTTGAGGTCACCAAGGCGGTTGGCAACCTCCATGGTGGCAAGGCTCCGGGTGTGGATGAGATCCGTCCTGACTATCTAAAGTCTCTGGATGTTGTAGGACTGTCTTGGCTGACACGTCTCTGCAACATCGCGTGGCGATCGGGGGCGGTGCCAATGGAGTGGCAGACGGGCTGGTGGTCCCTCTCTACAAGAAGGGGGACCGGAGGGTGTGTTCCAATTATCGTGGGATCACACTCCTCAGCCTCCCCGGTAAGGTCTACTCCAAGGTACTGGAGAGGAGGCTACGGCAGATGGTCAAATCTCGGATTCAGGAGGAGCAGTGTGGTTTTCGTCCCGGTCGCAGAACACTGGACCAGCTCTATACTCTCCATCGGATACTCGAGGGTTCATGGGAGTTCGCCCAACCTGTCCACATGTGCTTTGTGGATTTGGAGAAGGCGTTAGACTGTGTTCCCCGGGGTGTCCTTTGGGGGGTTCTCCGGGAGTACGGGGTCGGGGGTCCTCTGCTGAGGGCCGTCCGATCCCTGTATGACCGGAGCCAGAGCTGTGTTCGCATTGCCGGCAGTAAGTCAGACCTGTTCCCGGTGCATGTTGGCCTCCGACAGGGCTGCCCTTTGTCACCGGTTCTGTTCACTGTGTTTATGGACAGAATTTCTAGGCGCAGCCAGGAGTCGGAGGGGGTCCGGTTCGGAGACCACAGGATTTCATCTCTGCTGTTTGCAGACGATGTTGTCCTGTTGGCTCCAACGAACCAGGACCTGCAACATGCACTGGGACGGTTTGCAGCCGAGTGTGAAGCGGCTGGGATGAGAATCAGCACCTCCAAATCCGAGGCCATGGTGCTCTATCGGAAAAATGTGCCTTGCCCTCTACAGGTGGGTGGAGAGGTCCTTCCTCAAGTGGAGGAGTTCAAGTATCTCGGGGTCTTGTTCACGAGTGAGGGAAGGATGGAGCGTGAGATTGACAGGCGGATCGGTGCAGCGTGCGCAGTGATGCGGTCGCTGTATCGGACCGTTGTGGTGAAGAGGGAGCAGCGTCTGCAGTCAGAGCTGTATCGGACCGTTGTGGTAAAGAGGGAGCTGAGCCGAAAGGCAAAGCTCTCGATTTACCGGTCAATCTTCGTTCCCTCCCTCACCTATGGTCATGAGCTTTGGGTAATGACCGAAAGAACGAGATCGCGGATACAAGCGGTCGAAATGAGCTTCCTCCGCAGAGTGGCTGGGCGCTCCCTTAGAGATAGGGTGAGGAGCTCAGTCACACGGGAGGAGCTCGGAGTAGAGCCGCTGCTTCTCCACGTTGAGAGGAACCAGTTGAGGTGGCTCGGGCATCTGTTCCGGATGCCTCCTGGACGCCTCCCTGGGGAGGTGTTCCGGGCACGTCCTACTGGGAGGAGGCCCCGGGGAAGACCTAGGACACGCTGGAGGGACTATGTCTCTCAGCTGGCCTGGGAACGCCTTGGGGTCCCCCCGGACGAGCTGGAGGAAGTGTGTGTGGATAGGGAAGTCTGGGCGTCTCTGCTTAGACTGCTGGCCCCGCGACCCGGCAACGGATAAAGCGGAAGAAAATGGATGGATGGATGGATGGATCTTCTCAGCTTTCCATTGAGCTTCCTGAGGAGGATGTACAGTCATATATGAACCTGGATCAGAAGGGTGGAGAAGAGCCTTGGACAAATGTGGCAGTCAACATAACACAGGCCCAACAGGATCAGGGCAGAGCATATGGGAAACGTGGATGATAAAAGTATAGAGGTTTCAGGTATTCAGGAAGTGCTGCTGCTTCTTTGTAGGAAGCAGCGACGGAAAGGACGTAAGCATATGTTTGTGATTTATGTTTTTATCCTACTCTTAATCACATTATACTGCACGCTGTCTTGCTTACAAACAAGTCTATTTGCGGATGGAAACGTTTCAGCTAGGCCTTAACTTGTTCCTGAGGAGGTCCTAATTGCCCAAACGTTGCCATCTGTAAATAAAGTCACGGGTTTGTAAGCGAGACAGGGTTATTCTGACAAAACTTCTTTCTCATGTTGTCGTTGAAATGACTTTATTGCAACAACAGGACGACTGGAGCCAGGTTTCACTGGTTACTCTAACCGAGAAATGGAAGAGCGTGACCCGGGCCAACGCTGAAGGATATGTTCTTAAAAATATATAACCTGGATCATGTCAAACACTAAAACTGTGATTGTGATGTTTTTACCTTTTACACAAATTTCAATTTGACTTTTCAAAATCAAATATCACAACAAGGAAATCTGATGTTTACATTATATATATATATATATATATATATATATATATATATATATATATATATATATATATATATATATATATATATATATATATATATATATATATTTATATATATATATATATATATATATATATATGTATATATATATATATATATATGTATATATATATATATATATATATATATTTATATATATATATATATATATATATGTATAATGTAAAGTGTTCAGAGTAATTGGGTTTTGTGTAGTATGATCCTGGAAGAAGGCCATCTGTCCTAATGTAGAGACATGTTCTCAGGACTGAGGCTATAGACCCAGGACTGAGGCTGTAGACCCAGGACTGAGGCTGTAGACCCAGGACTGAGGCTGTAGACCCAGGACATAGGGCTGTAGACCCAGGACATAGGGCTGTAGACCCAGGACATAGGGCTGTAGATCCAGGACATAGGGCTGTAGACCCAGGACATAGGGCTGTAGACCCAGGACTGAGGCTGTAGACCCAGAGAAAACAGCAGACTGGTCGACTGCTTTAGACCAAATTGAATTGCTGTAACCATTCCGTAGGATTACTCCCAACAGCGTGCACAGACAAGCTAACAAACACTCGCTAACAATAACCACGGTCGTCATTTAGCCGCAGCGCCGGTCATTATTGGCGGGACACGCCGAGGTCAGCTGTCCGACGGCGAGAGCACAGCTTGTTACGGCGCTGTTTCTGGGACACGGTTTGGCCCAAAAGGACTCTTCAGCCGGCGCCGTAATGACCAGGACCGGGCAGATTGCGGACGCCGCTCGTTAGCGCAGCCTGGGGACCGGTAACGACGGCGGTAATAACTTTGAGAACGCGGCGGCGCAGATTTTGGCTTGCGATTCGGAGCCGCTCCTGCTGTTCTCGCCGAGTTCAAACTGCGGAGATTTGGCAGATTCAGGACGAGTGGGTTTGAAATCATTAACTATTCTCTCTCTCTGGTCTCTCTCTGGTCTCTCTCTGGTCTCTCTGGTCTCTCTCTCTGGTCTCTCTCCCTGGTCTCTCTCTGGTCTCTCTCTGGTCTCTCTCTGGTCTCTCTCTGGTCTCTCTCTGGTCTCTCTGGTCTCTCTCTCTGGTCTCTCTCCCTGGTCTCTCTCTGGTCTCTCTCTGGCCTCTCTCTGGTCTCTCTCTTGGTCTCTCTCTGGTCTCTCTCTGGTCTCTCTGGTCTCTCTCTCTGGTCTCTCTCTCTGGTCTCTCTCCCTGGTCTCTCTCTGGTCTCTCTCTAGTCTCTCTGGTCTCTCTCCCTGGTCTCTCTCTGATCTCTCTCTGGTCTCTCTGGTCTCTCTCTCTGGTCTCTCTCCCTGGTTTCTCTCTGGTCTCTCTCTCGGGTCTCTCTCTGGTCTCTCTCTGGCCTCTCTCTGGTCTCTCTCTGGTCTCTCTCTGGTCTCTCCCTGGTCTCTCTCTCTGGTCTCTCTCTCTGGTCTCTCTGGTCTCTCTCTCTGGTCTCTCTCTGGTCTCTCTCTCTGGTCTCTCTCTCTGGTCTCTCTCCCTGGTCTCTCTCTGATCTCTCTCTGGTCTCTCTGGTCTCTCTCTCTGGTCTCTCTCCCTGGTCTCTCTCTGGTCTCTCTCTCGGGTCTCTCTCTGGTCTCTCTCTGGTCTCTCTCTGGTCTCTCTCTGGTCTCTCTCTGGTCTCTCTCTCTGGTCTCTCTCTGGTCTCTCTCTCTGGTCTCTCTCCCTGGTCTCTCTCCCTGGTCTCTCTCTGATCTCTCTCTGGTCTCTCTCTCTGGTCTCTCTCCATGGTCTCTCTCTGGTCTCTCTCTGGTCTCTCTCTCGGGTCTCTCTCTGGTCTCTCTCTGGTCTCTCTCTGGCCTCTCTCTGGTCTCTCTCTGGTCTCTCTCTGGTCTCTCTCTCTGGTCACTCTGGTCTCTCTCTCTGGTCTCTCTCCCTGGTCTTGCTCTGGTCTCTCTCTGGCCTCTCTCTGGTCTCTCTCTAGTCTCTCTGGTCTCTCTCTCTGGTCTCTCTCTCTGGTCTCTCTCCCTGGTCTCTCTCTGGTCTCTCTCTGGCCTCTCTCTGGTCTCTCTCTGGTCTCTCTCTGGTCTCTCTCTGGTCTCTCTCTAGTCTCTCTGGTCTCTCTCCCTGGTCTCTCTCTGATCTCTCTCTGGTCTCTCTGGTCTCTCTCTCTGGTCTCTCTCCCTGGTTTCTCTCTGGTCTCTCTCTCGGGTCTCTCTCTGGTCTCTCTCTGGTCTCTCTCTGGTCTCTCTCTGGTCTCTCTCTGGTCTCTCTCTGGTCTCTCTCTGGTCTCTCTCTCTGGTCTCTCTCTCTGGTCTCTCTCTCTGGTCTCTCTCCCTGGTCTCTCTCTGATCTCTCTCTGGTCTCTCTGGTCTCTCTCTCTGGTCTCTCTCCCTGGTCTCTCTCTGGTCTCTCTCTCGGGTCTCTCTCTGGTCTCTCTCTGGTCTCTCTCTGGTCTCTCTCTGGTCTCTCTCTGGTCTCTCTCTGGTCTCTCTCTCTGGTCTCTCTCTCTGGTCTCTCTCTCTGGTCTCTCTCCCTGGTCTCTCTCTGATCTCTCTCTGGTCTCTCTGGTCTCTCTCCCTGGTTTCTCTCTGGTCTCTCTCTGGCCTCTCTCTGGTCTCTCTCTGGTCTCTCTCTGGTCTCTCTCTCTGGTCAC